CTCACGTCCTTTCAGTACTTCCACAACTCACCCTTACGTCCTTCCAGTACTTCTACAACTCACCCTCACAATCTTCCAGTACTTCTACAACTCACCCTCACGTCCTTCCAGTACTTCTACAACTCACCCTCACATCCTTCCAGTAATTCTACACCTCACCCTCACGTCCTTTCAGTACTTCCACAACTCACCCTTACGTCCTTCCAGTACTTCTACAACTCACCCTCACAATCTTCCAGTACTTCTACAACTCACCCTCACGTCCTTCCAGTACTTCTACAACTCACCTTCACATCCTTCCAGTACTTCTACAACTTACCCTCACATCCCTCCAGTACTTCTACAACTTACCCTCACATCCTTCCAGTACTTCTACAACTCACCCTCACATCCTTCCAGTACTTCCGCAACTCACCCTCACATCCTTCCAGTACTTCTGCAACTTACCCTCACATCCTTCTAGTACTTCTACAACTCACCCTCACATCCTTCCGGTACTTCTACAACTCACCCTCACGTCCTTCCAGTACTTCTACAACTCACCCTCACATACTTCCAGTACTTCTGCAACTCACCCTCACATCCTTCCAGTACTTCTACAACTCACCCTCAAATCCTTCCAGTACTTCTGCAACTCACTCTCACATCCTTCCAGTACTTCTACAAATCACCCTCACGTCCTTCCAGTGCTTCTACAATTCACCCTTACGGCCTTCCAGTACTTCTACAACTGACCCTCACATCCTTCCAGTACTTCTACAACTCACCCTCACATCCTTCCAGTAATTCTACAATTCACCCTCACATCCTTCCAGTACTTCTGCAACTCACTCTCACATCCTTCCATTATTTCTACAACTCACCCTCACGTTCTTCCTGTACTTCTACAACTCACCCTGACATCATTCCAGCACTTCTACAACTCACCCTCACATCCTTCCAGTACATCTACGACTCACCCTCACATCCTTCCAGTACTTCTACAAATCACCCTCACATCCTTCCAGTACTTCTACAATTCACCCTCACATCCTTCCAGTATTTCTACACCTCACCCTCACGTCCTTTCAGTACTTCTACTACTCACACTTACGTCCTTCCAGTACTTCTACAACTCACCCTCACGTCCTTCCAGTACTTCTAAAACTCACCGTCACATCCTTCCAGTACTTCTACACCTCACCCTCACGCCCTTTCAGTACTTCTAAAACTCACCCTCACATCCTTCCAGTACTTCTACACCTCACCCTCACGTCCTTTCAGTACTTCTAAAACTCACCCTCACATCCTTCCAGTACTTCTACACCTCACCCTCACGCCCTTTCAGTATTTCTACAACTCACCCTTACGTCCTTCCAGTACTTCTACAACTCACCCTCACGTCCTTCCAGTACTTCTAAAACTCACTCTCACATCCTTCCAGTACTTCTACAACTCACCCTCACGTCCTTCCAGTACCTCTACAATTCACCCTCACATCCTTCCAGTACTTCTACAACTCACCCTCACGTCCTTCCAGTACTTCTACAACTCACCCTCACACCCCTCCAGTACTTCTACAACTCACCCTCACGTCCTTCCAGTACTTTTACAATTTACCCTTACATCCTTCCAGTACTTCTACAACTCACTCTCACATCCTTCCAGTACTTCTACAGCTTACCCTCACATCCTTCCAGTACTTTAACAACTCACCTTCATATCTTTCCAGTACTTCTACAACTCCCCCTCACATCCTTCCAGTACTTCTACAACTCACCCTCACATCATTCCAGTACTTGTACAACTCACCCTCACATCCTTCCAGTACTTGTACAACTCACCTTCACATTCTTCCAGTACTTCTATAACTCCCCCTCACGTCCTTCCAGTACTTCTACAACTCACCCTCACATACTTCCCTTACTTCTGCAACTCATCCTCACATCCTTCCAGTAATTCTACAACTTACCCTCAAATCCTTCCAGTACTTCTGCAACTCACTCTCACATCCTTCCAGTACTTCTACAAATCATCCTCACGGCCTTCCAGTGCTTCTACAACTCACTATTACGTCCTTCCAGTACTTCTACAACTGACCCTCACATCCTTCCAGTACTTCTACAACTGACCCTCACATCCTTCCAGTACTTCTACAACTCACCCTGACATCATTCCAGTACTTCTACAACTCACCCTCACATCCTTCCAGTACTTGTACAACTCCCCTTCACATCCTTCCAGTACATCTACGACTCACCCTCACATCCTTCCAGTACTTCTGCAACTCACCCTTACATCCTTCCAGTACTTCTACAAATCACCCTCACGTCCTTCCAGTGCTTCTACAACTCACCCTCACATCCTTCCAGTACTTCCACAACTCACCCTCACATCCTTCCAGTACTTGTACAACTCCCCTTCACATCATTCCAGTACATCTGCGACTCACCCTCACATCCTTCCAGTACTTCTGCAACTCACCCTCACGTCCTTTCAGTACTTCTAAAACTCACTCTCACATCCTTCCAGTACTTCTACAACTCACCCTCACGTCCTTCCAGTACTTCTAAAACTCACCCTCACATCCTTCCAGTACTTCTACACCTCACCCTCACGCCCTTTCAGTATTTCTACAACTCACCCTTACGTCCTTCCAGTACTTCTACAACTCACCCTCACGTCCTTCCAGTACTTCTAAAACTCACTCTCACATCCTTCCAGTACTTCTACAACTCAACCTCACGTCCTTAGAGTACCTCTACAATTCACCCTCACATCCTTCCAGTACTTCTACAACTTACCCTCACATCCTTCCAGCAGTTTAAAAACTCACCTTCACATCCTTCCAGTACTTCTACAACTCACCCTCACATCCTTCCAGTACTTCTACAACTCACCCTCACACCCCTCCAGTACTTCTGCAACTTACCCTCACGTCCTTCCAGTACTTCTACAACTTACCCTCACATCCTTCCATTACTTTAACAACTCACCTTCACATCTTTCCAGTACTTCTACAACTCCCCCTCACATCCTTCCAGTACTTCTACAACTCACCCTCACATCATTCCAGTACTTCTGCAACTCACCCTCACATCCTTCCAGTAATTGTACAACTCACCTTCACATTCTTCCAGTACTTCTACAACTCACTCTCACCTGCTTCCAGTGCTTCTACAACTCACCCTTACATCCTTCCAGTACTTCTACAACTTACCCTCACATCCTTCCAGTACTTTAACAACTCACCTTCACATCCTTTCAGTACTTCAACAACTGACCCTCACATCCTTCCAGTACTTCTACATCTCACCCTCACGTTCTTCCAGTAATTCTACAACTCACCCTGACATCCCTCCAGTACTTTTACAACTAACCCTCACATCCTTCCAGTACTTCTACAACTTTCCGTTTCATCCTTCCAGTACTTCTACAACTCACTCTCACATCCTTCCAGTACTTCTACAACTCACCCTCACGTCCTCCCAGTACTTCTACAACTGATCCTCACATCATTCCAGTACTTCTACAACTCACCCTCACATCCTTCTAGTACTTGTGCAACTCACCTTCACATCCTTCCAGTACTTCTACAACTCACCCTCACATCCTTCCAGTACTTCTGCAACTCACCCTCACATCCTTTCAGTACTTCTGCAACTCACCCTCACATCCTTCCAGTAATTGTACAACTCACCTTCACATTCTTCCAGTACTTCTACAACTCACTCTCACCTGCTTCCAGTGCTTCTACAACTCACCCTTACATCCTTCCAGTACTTCTACAACTTACCCTCACATCCTTCCAGTACTTTAACAACTCACCTTCACATCCTTTCAGTACTTCGACAACTGACCCTCACATCCTTCCAGTACTTCTACATCTCACCCTCACGTTCTTCCAGTAATTCTACAACTCACCCTGACATCCCTCCAGTACTTTTACAACTAACCCTCACATCCTTCCAGTTCTTCTACAACTTTCCGTTTCATCCTTCCAGTACTTCTACAACTCACTCTCACATCCTTCCAGTACTTCTACAACTCACCCTCACGTCCTCCCAGTACTTCTACAACTGATCCTCACATCATTCCAGTACTTCTACAACTCACCCTCACATCCTTCTAGTACTTGTGCAACTCACCTTCACATCCTTCCAGTACTTCTACAACTCACCCTCACATCCTTCCAGTACTTCTGCAACTCACCCTCACATCCTTTCAGTACTTCTACAAATCACCCTCACGTCCTTCCAGTGCTTCTACAACTCACTCTTACGTCCTTCCAGTACTTCTACAACTCACCCTCACGTCCTTCCAGTACTTGTACAACTCACCTTCACATGCTTTCAGTACTTCTACAACTCACCCTCACCTCCTTCCAGTATTTCTACAACTCACCCTCACATCCTTCCTGTACTTCTACAACTCATCTTCACGTACTTCCAGTACTTTTACACCTTATCCTCACGTCCTTCCAGTACTTCTACAACACTCACGTCCTTCCAGTACTTCTTCAACTCACCTTCACATCCTTCCAGTACTTCTACAACTCACCCTCACGTCCTTCCAGTACTTTTACAACTCACCCTCACATCCCTTCAGTAATTCTACAACTCACCCTAATATTCTTCCAGGACTTCTACAACTCACCCTCAGGTCCTTCCAGTACTTCTACAACTCACTCTTACATCCTTCCAGTATTGTGTGGAAATTACGAAGACCCTAAAGAAAATAAGTCACTCTGATTTTTTTTATTTTCGCCGGTGATTTACACATATGACACTATGTAGAACAACGACTGCGAAAAAGATAGTGAAATTCCAAGCGTTTTCGTAATTTCTCATATTATCACAGTCGAAAAATCATGACAGCGCTTGGAATTTCAATGTTTTCTCGCAGTGGTTGTTTGCGTATTGTGATATCACCTGTTTACTGTGATCTAATTGCAGATGCTACTATGTATGATAATTGTCCTTATAAGTACCTGTACCTAAGTAAACTTATTTATTTGCTAGGTGCGCGTTGGCAACACACGGGAGATGTCTGGTAACTTCTCCTCATTCACATTGTTTTCCACCTACAAAATCTACTACAGTGACACCTATGGGACCCTCTCTTGCTACAGGAAAGACGGTGTAGTTGGCAGATACATCAGCATCCAGAGAGTTACTCCTGAGGATGACATGCTGATGCTTTCCGATGTCAGAGTTTTCGTTTCATTATAATCAAAACAATTCTGGCGACGATGATCTTGTAAGATCTAGTTAAGATTCAAGTACAGAAAATCTACACTAAAAAAATTGTAATATTAAACATAAGGGGCGCGTGAATTTCCTTGTCTCTTAATATTATGTTTATAATTACTATCGCCCATAATTACTATCGCATTTGCTTTGTCTCTTTCGAAAGGTGAAATCTACAATCTTTCCTTAATTCATGGTGTAACTTAACAAATCTTTGAGGACAATTGTGTTGCAGAAGTCTGAGTTTTGCTCAGACTTCTGCAACACAAATACCAGTTCCTGGGTAAGGATTTAACACAGGAAGAAGTTAAAAGGATGATGGAATATGCAGTTACCTTTGATCGTCGAGGCGTTGGGTGATCCATGTTGTGAAATAACTGTGGTTAATAAATATTTCTGTGTTCATTTGTGGGCAGTTATTTTGTAGTTATTTTTGCAATTATTTTAGGTGAATATTGACATTACTACCTTAGCTGTGGACGTGTTTAATATTATGATCATATTACCACTTGTGTGACGTAGATGTTTATTATGATCATATTACCACTTGTGTGACGTAGATGTTTATTATGATCATATCACCACTTGTGTGACGTAGATGTTTATTATGATCATATTACCACTTGTGTGACGTAGATGTTTATTATGATCATATTACCACTTGTGTGACGTAGATGTTTATTATGATCATATTACCACTTGTGTGACGTAGATGTTTATTATGATCATATTACCACTTGTGTGACGTAGATGTTTATTATGATCATATCACCACTTGTGTTGACGTAAATGTTTATTATTATCATATCATCACTTGTGTTGACGTAGATGTTTATTATGATTATGTCATCACTTGTGTTGACATAGATGTTTATTATGATCATATTACCACTTGTGTGACGTAGATGTTTATTATGATTATGTCATCACTTGTGTTGACATAGATGTGTATTATGATCATATTACCATTTGTGTTGAGGTAGATGTTTATTATTATCATATCACCACTTGTGTGACGTAGATGTTTATTATGATCATATTACCATTTGTGTTGACGTAGATGTTTATTATTATCATATCACTTGTGTGACGTAGATATTTATTATGATCATATTACCACTTGTGTTGACGTAGATGTTAAAAATATTTGTTTTAGGAGTCAAGAATGAATTTCATGTTAACTATAGTGATCCTGATGTTTTTGTCACTTATGTCAGTGTTTTGATGTGTGTTATTTAATGTATATTCTGCAAGTGTATAAAATTCCTTGCAAGAGCTGCAACACATACTGGACTAACATACTGAAATATATTCACTTAACTGAATACAAAATATTGGTAGTGTTGCATGACCCATATGGATTTAGTGCCTTTTTTGAATATAAGAGAAATAATAATAAAAATTCTAAAACTGATAATAATAATAATAATAATAATAATAATAATAATAATAATAATAATAATAATAATAATAATAATAACAAATTTCTCATGAATCATCTTTCAGATGATTCATGAGAAACTTGTGCAGCATTTGGGTATTACTGTGGAATCTTTTCGCCAGCCAGTGGCTTCATCAGTCCAACAGAGAAGCACGGTGGAAGATGAGGAGGAGTAGTTTGAGGTAATCAGTCCCTCAGCCTTGAGTCTATGTGTTCAGTCCATTTTCTCTGCAATTGACTGACGAACCAATTGGCAGGCGAAACTTTTCCACGGGACTCCTTTGACATGGGGTTAAAGTCCCGCCCGTTCTGTGGTTTATTTTTCCGCAGTAAATATATCCAAATGTAAGATAATTGTCTCAGTCATCAACTTGTGTCTCTTTTAAACTATTATATAATATCTATTACGTAGGTGCGTTCTATTTTCTCTCAGCATATTAACAACCATAACCATACTATTAACTGTCACACTGCCGCCATTATACATATAACTTCTTATATACAGTAGATGAAAAATGCACCGACTCAGCTATAATTATATCAGCTATAACTGAATCACTCAGCATTTATTATCACTCAACAATAACTGTATCACTTAGCTGTAACTGTATCACTCAGCTATTACTATATAACTCAGCTACAACTATATCACTCAGCTGTAACTATCACTGGGCCTCTACCCTTCAAACAGAACTGTTTGCCATACTCCTTGCACTCAAATGCATCCACGTATCTAAGGTTGACACTTTAATTGTAACTAATTCTCTGTCATCCATAAATGCTCTCAACTCATTAAGTATAAATTTTGGCATGCTTGTGTCAGAAGCCAGACATAGGTATGGTAAGATTGTGGACAGTGGAGTCAGAGTGCACATGCTGTGGATTCCATCTCACATTGGTCTTAAGATGCATGATAGAACTGATAAATTGGCAAAGCTGCATGCTTTCAAAGAGGGGGTAGATTACAATCTTGGGTTGTCAGTTAGCAGTTTGAGAACAATAATATGAAAAGAACTTCAAATGAACTTTATTGACTTAAGACTTAGGGAGACTGACACCAGTGAGTCCATCTATTATCATTCCATCATGCAGGAGGAGCCATATGTCTATGGTACATCCAACAAAATAAGCAGACTCTTGGATGTCACTACTGCCCGGCTCCGGCTGGGTTACAAGTATCTTTGGCAGGTTAAATCACCACCACCAGATGTAGACCAAACTAAATGTAAACTTTGCCAGATGGATTATTGTCACACCTTGCGTCATTATGTACTGGAGTGTGATAAAATTAATGAATTTAGAAACAACTCACTCAGAAATGTTCAAGAAATGGCAAATTATTTTATCCACAGTGGTATATTACAGACCATTCTGGAGAAATACCCTGACTTTGCTAGCTGTAAATATTGCATTACCATGTGCGTGTGTGTGTGTGTGTGTGTGTACTCACCTAGTTGTACTAGTTGAGGTTGCGGGGGTCGAGTCCGAGCTCCTGGCCCCGCCTCTTCACTGATCGCTACTAGGTCACTCTCCCTGAGCCGTGAGCTTTATCGTACCTCTGCTTAAAGCTATGTATGGATCCTGCCTCCACTACATCGCTTCCCAAACTATTCCACTTACTGACTACTCTGTGGCTGAAGAAATACTTCCTAACATCCCTGTGATTCATCTGTGTCTTTAGCTTCCAACTGTGTCCCCTTGTTACTGTGTCCAATCTCTGGAACATCCTGTTTTTGTCCACCTTGTCAATTCCTCTCAGTATTTTGTATGTCGTTATCATGTCCCCCCTATCTCTCCTGTCCTCCAGTGTCGTCAGTTGATTTCCCTTAAACCTCTCCTCGTAGGACATACCTCTTAGCTCTGGGACTAGTCTTGTTGCAAACCTTTGCACTTTCTCTAGTTTCTTTACGTGCTTGGCTAGGTGTGGGTTCCAAACTGGTGCCGCATACTCCAATATGGGCCTAACGTATACGGTGTACAGGGTCCTGAACGATTCCTTATTAAGATGTCGGAATGCTGTTCTGAGGTTTGCTAGGCGCCCATATGCTGCAGCAGTTATTTGGTTGATGTGCGCTTCAGGAGATGTGCCTGGTGTTATACTTCACCCCAAGATCTTTTTCCTTGAGTGAGGTTTGTAGTCTCTGACCCCCTAGACTGTACTCCGTCTGCGGCCTTCTTTGCCCTTCCCAATCTTCATGACTTTGCACTTGGTGGGATTGAACTCCAGGAGCCAATTGCTGGACCAGTTTCTGCAGCCTGTCCAGATCCCTTTGTAGTTCTGCCTGGTCTTCGATCGAGTGTATTCTTCTCATCAACTTCACGTCATCTGCAAACAGGGACACCTCAGAGTCTATTCCTTCGTCATGTCGTTCACAAATACCAGAAACAGCACTGGTCCTAGGACTGACCCCTGCGGGACCCCGCTGGTCACAGGTGCCCACTCTGACACCTCGCCACGTACCATGACTCGCTGCTGTCTTCCTGACAAGTATTCCCTGATCCATTGTAGTGCCTTCCCTGTTATCCCTGCTTGGTCCTCCAGTTTTTGCACCAATCTCTTGTGTGGAACTGTGTCAAACGCCTTCTTGCAGTCCAAGAAAATGCAATCCACCCACCCCTCTCTCTCTTGTCTTACTGCTGTCACCATGTCATAGAACTCCAGTAGGTTTGTGACACAGGATTTCCCGTCCCTGAAACCATGCTGGCTGCTGTTGATGAGATCATTCCTTTCTAGGTGTTCCACCACTCTTCTCCTGATAATCTTCTCCATGATTTTGCATACTATACATGTCAGTGACACTGGTCTGTAGTTTAATGCTTCATGTCTGTCTCCTTTTTTAAAGATTGGGACTACATTTGCTGTCTTCCTTCCATGCCTCAGGCAATCTCCCTGTTTCGATAGATGTATTGAATATTGTTGTTAGGGGTACACATAGCGCCTCTGCTCCCTCTCTCAATACCCATGGGGAGATGTTATCTGGCCCAATTGCCTTTGAGGTATCTAGCTCACTCAGAAGCCTCTTCACTTCTTCCTCGGTTGTGTGCACTGTGTCCAGCACTTGGTGGTGTGCCCCACCTCTCCGTCTTTCTGGAGTCCCTTCTGTCTCCTCTGTGAACACTTCTTTGAATCTCTTGTTGAGTTCTTCACATACTTCCCGGTCATTTCCTGTTGTCTCTCCTCCTTCCTTCCTTAGCCTGATTACCTGGTCCTTGACTGTTGTTTTCCTCCTGATGTGGCTGTACAACAGTTTCGGGTCAGATTTGGCTTTCGCTGCTATGTCATTTTCATATTGTCTTTGGGCCTCCCTTCTTATCTGTGCATATTCATTTCTGGCTCTACGACTGTTCTCCTTATTCTCCTGGGTCCTTTGCCTTCTATATTTCTTCCATTCCCTAGCACACTTGGTTTTTGCCTCCCTGCACCTTTGGGTAAACCATGGGCTCATCCTGGCTTTTTCATTACTCCTGTTACACTTGGGTACAAACCTCTCCTCAGCCTCCTTGCATTTTATTGCTACATATTCCATCATCTCATTAACTGGTTTCCCTGCCAGTTCTCTGTCCCACTGAACCCCGTTCAGGTAGTTCCTCATTCCTGTGTAGTCCCCTTTCTTGTAGTTTGGCTTCATTCGTCCTGGCCTTCCTGCTTCTCCCTCCACTTGTAGCTCTACTGTGTATTCGAAGCTTACAACCACATGGTCACTGGCCCCAAGGGGTCTTTCATATGTGATGTCCTCGATATCTGCACTACTGAAGGTGAATACTAAGTCCAGCCTTGCTGGTTCATCCTCTCCTCTCTCTCTTGTAGTGTCCCTTACGTGTTGGTACATGAAGTTCTCCAGTACCACCTCCATCATCTTAGCCCTCCAAGTATCTTGGCCCCCATGTGGGTCCAAGTTCTCCCAATCTATCTCCTTGTGGTTAAAGTCACCCATGATCAGGAGCTTTGCCCTGCATGCATGAGCTCTTCTGGCCACTCTAGCCAGTGTGTGTGTGTGTGTGTGTGTGTGTGTGTGTGTGTGTGTGTGTGTGTGTGTGTGTGTGTGTGTGTGTGTGTGCGTGTGTGTGTGTGTATGTGTGTGTGTGTGTGTGTGTGTGTGTGTGTGTGGGTGTGTGTGTGTGTACTCACCTATTTGTACTCACCTATTTGTGGTTGCAGGGGTCGAGTCACAGCTCCTGGCCCCGCCTCTTCGCTGATTGCTACTAGGTCCTCTCTCTCCCTGCCCCATGAGCTCTATCATACCTCGCCTTAAAACTATGTATGGTTCCAGCCTCCACTACATCCCTTTCTAGGCTATTCCATGGCCTGACTACTCTATGACTGAAGAAATACTTCCTAACATCCCTTTGATTCATCTGAGTCTTCAACTTCCAATTGTGACCTCTTGTGTCTGTGTCCCATCTCTGGAACATCCCGTCTTTGTCCACATTGTCTATTCCGCGCAGTATTTTATGTCGTTATCATGTCTCCCCTGACCCTCCTGTCCTCCAGTGTCGTCAGGCCGATTTCCCTCAACCTTACTTCGTAGGACAATCCCCGTAGCTCTGGGACTAGTCTTGTTGCAAACCTTTGCACTTTCTCTAATTTCTTGACGTGCTTGACTAGGTGTGGATTCCAAATTGGTGCTGCATACTCCAGTATGGGCCTGACGTAGATGGTATACAGAGTCTTAAATGAATCCTTACTGAGGTATCGGAACGCTATCCGTAGGTTTGCCAGGCGTCCGTATGCTGCACAGTTTATCTGATTGATGTGTGCCTCAGGAGATATGCTCGGTGTTATACTCACCCCCAGATCTTTTTCCTTGAGTGAGGTTTGCAGTCTTTGGCCATCTAAACTATATTGTGTCTGCGGTCTTCTTTGCCCTTCCCCAATATTCATGACTTTGCATTTGGCAGGGTTAAATTCAAGGAGCCAGTTGCTGGACCAGGCTTGTAGCCTGTCCAGGTCTCTTTGTAGTCCTGCCTGATCCTCGTCCGATTTGATTATTCTCATTAACTTCGCATCATCTGCAAACAAGGACACT